ACATCTGAATATTTTTCTGATATATTGTTCAGAAATAACAAAGCAAGGGATACATTTGGGCCTGTGTTGAGGGGTGGTGGTCTCTGCCTTCCATTACCTTGAGTTTGGCTGGCTTACTAACTGCTGATTTAGTCTAAAAGGTATTTTATAGACAAAGCTTCCTGCGTAATATGTCCGAGCCATAACTTAGCTTGCTGTTTTCGGCAAAGAACATTCTAAGATAGAAGTCTTTTGGGGCCTAATGTTGATAAGCAGCTGCCCTCTATATGCAGCTTAATTATTAATAGGAGGTAAAGCAATAGCTCTGCAGCTTTTCAGGGACTTTATCTGGGTCGGCAAAAGACATTCACATCTGAAAGCTGCTTCATATTTAGGAATAGCGGCTTTGCAGAAGAGCAACATGAAGTTTATTTCCTTTTGCAAAATGATGGAGTATGCATTTTAGAAGCATTTACTTGAGTAAGACTCAGGTAAGGTACAGATAGGGGCACTCCAGAGAAACATTCCTAGGACCAAAGCAGTCAACCATTTTTACTGATTTACTAATTAATGGTTAAAAATCTAGGGAAATGTTAGGGCAGGTTGTTCACAAATAACTTTTACATTGCCCCATGTATTTAGCTAGTAGCAATAGAAAATAATCTTGCTCAGTCATTTTTTTAAAAATAACTTATTTTTCAGTAACAGTTGACATATTAGTTTCAGGTGTACAACATAGTGCTTAGACATTTACATAACTTAGGAAGTGATCACCCCAATAAATCTTGTACCCATTTGACACCATGCATAGTTATTACAATATTATTGACTATATTCCTTATGCTATACTTTACATCCCCATGACTATTTTGTAACTACTAATTTGTACTTCTTAATCTCTTCACTTTTTTACCCATCCCTCCTACCCCTTCCATCTGGTAGCCATCAAAATATTCTCTATCTGTGAGTTTCTGTTTTGTTTATTTCGTTCTTTAGATTCATTATGTAAGTAAAATCTTATGGCATTTGTCTTTATCTGACTTACTTCCCTCTGCACAATACCCTCTCAGTCCATCCATGTTGTTGGAGATGGCAAGATTTCATTCTTTTTTGTGGCTGAGTACTATTCTATTATATATATGTGCCACCCCTTCTTGATGCATTCATCTACTGATGGACACTCAGGTTGCCTCCATATCTTGGCTATTGTAAATAATGCTGCAATGAACATATATTTTCACATGTCCCTTCAAAGTAGTTGTTTTGGGGTTCTTCGGATAAATTCCCAGAAGTGGGATTACTGGATCCTTCTTTGTCTCTTGTTATAGCCTTTGTTTTAAAGTATATTTTGTCTGGTATAAGGAGTTTCACCCTTAGGTTCAGGACTTCATGCTTTTTTTAATTTCCATTTTAATGAAATACCTTTTTCCACTCCTTTTGGTTTGATGGTGGTGAACTCTTGTAGCTTTTTCTAGTCTGGGAAGCTCATGATCTGTCCTTTGATTCTAAATGATAGCTTTGCTAGGTAGAATCATCTTGTTTGTAGGTCATTGCTTTTCATTATTTTGAATATTTCATGCCAGTCCCTTCTGGCCCGCAAAGTTTCTGTTGGGAAATCAGTTGACAGTCTTATGGGAACTCAGTTGTAGGTAACTAGATGCTTTTCTCTTGCTGCTTTTAAGATTCTCTCTTTCTCTTGAAGCTTTGGCTTTTAATTATGTAGCTTGGTGTGGGCCTCTTTAGTTCATCTTGTTTGAGACTCTGCATTTCTTGGGGCTTGTATGTCTATTTCCTTTACTAGGTTAGGGAAGATTTCTGTCATTATTTCTTGAAATAGGTTGTCAATTCCTTATTTTCTCTCTTCTTCTGGCACCCCTATGATGTAAACGTTGGTACACTTGATGTTAAATGGCACCTTAAACTATCCTAATTTTTTTGAATTCTTTTTTTGTTGCTGTTCTGATTGGGTGTTTTCTGCTACCTTATCTTCTAAATCGCTGATTTGATATCTCTGCTTCATCTAATCAACTGTTGATTCCCTCTAATATGTTCTTCATTTCAGTTAGTCTTCATCTCTGGCTGGTTCTTTTCGATGTTTTCTATCGTCTTTTTCATGTTTTCTATCTCTTTGAGATCTTTGAGATCTCTCTCTGAGATCTTTGAGCATCCTTATAACCAATGTTTTGTACTCTGCATCTGGTAAATTGCTTGTCTCCATTTTGTTTGGTTCTTATTCTGGAGCTTTGTTCAGTTTTTTTCTGGAGCTTTGTTCTGTTCTTTCATTTGGGACATGTTTATTTGTCTTCCCATTTTGGCTGCCTCCCTGTCTTTGTATGTATTAGGAAAAGCTGCTACGTTTCTCAGCCTTAGTAGAGTGGCCTTATTTAGTAGGTGTCCTGTGGGGCGCAGTGTCCCTTGTGTGGATTGTGTGTGCCTTCCTGTTGTAGTTAAGCCTCGGTTGCTGTTGGCATATTAATGAGAGGGATCAACTCTCAGGCTGATTGTTTGTGAAGACTGGCTGTGATTACAGTGAAGGGGCTCTTGTACAGGAGCTGACCCTATGAAGCAGGATTCACTTTTGCAGGGCTCTGGTGCCTGCTGAGTCTGCTCTTTGGGTGTGTTGTTTGTGGAGGTAGTCAGGTGGAGCTCTAGTGTGGTCTGAAGCTGGCCACTGGGTATGTTGTTTGCGGGGCCTCTTGGGAGGGGCTCTGTTTCAGGCCAAGGTCAGCTGCTGCCTGTGTTCTGCCAGAGGCCACTTAGTGTGAGCAACAAAGTGATCTGCAGTTGGTTGCCTCTTGTGCTGGGCTTGGAAGTGCCTGGGGGAGGCTGACCTATGAATCGAGGTTGGCTTGGGGCTGCTTTGCAAGAGATACAGGGCATGCCAAGGGCAGGTGCTGCTTGTTTAGGGTTTGTTAACCTATGAAAGATTTAGGAAATTTTGCAGCCTGAGCCAAGACAGACTGTTTTTAAGGAAAAGCCACTGGCAGCTGCTTGGATGGGCCCGCAAGTTGGGTGGGGCAGGGTCTCAGAATCACCAGGGCAAGGCGAATAGTGTTAGCCTGGTTGATGGAGCCTCAGATATGATGTCCACCTCCATCTGCATACTGGGTTGGGAGAAGGCTCAACAAAGGAACAATGGCATATGCCAGCACATCTGTCTGGGTGAAAGCTTCCCCTTTAGTCCTTGCCATGAAGCCAGACAATTCATTTCCTCCCTGTATGTCCTGGCATCTTTTAAGCTGTTGCCCCGGTGCTGGAGCTCAATGAGTGAGTCTGTCAGAGAGTAAGTCTGCGCATAGGCCCTTTAAAAGGAACACCTGAGACTGCAGCTACCCTTCATCTTACTCGGCCACAATCTCCACTGCATTTCACAGCTAGAGTTGTGGAAACTTCTCTCCCTGGCGCTTGAAATCTGGCCTGGGAAGCTTGGTGTGGGGCTGGGACCCATCTCTCTTCAAGGGGGACCTCTGAAGCCAAGAATTTCCTCCCAATTTTTAACCACCATTCATGAGTGTTGGGCCAGCCCCTTTCGTGTCTCCACCCCTCCTACCAGTCTCTATGTGGCTTCTTCTACATACCCTTAGTTATAGAACTTTTGTTCAGCTAGACTTCAGGCAGTGTTCACTGATGGTTGTTCTGTAGTTTAGTTGCAATTTCGATGTGGTCACTAGAGGAGGTAAGCACAGCATTTACCTAGTTTGCCATATTGACCAGAAATCTTTGCCATTTTCGACACGTGTACCAAAATATCTTTGGTAAATGGTGATTTCTTTTAAGGCACAAATCTAACTACATCATCCACAATTTAAAGTTTTTTTTGACATCCTTTAGCTCTTGAAGAGAACATTGAACATAGAAAATTTTAGCAACTGAGAAAAAAAAAGAAATAACCTTTTTTTTTTTTAAATTTCATTTTATCTCTTTCTTTTTCTTCCAGTTTTCTCCTCACCTGTTACATTCTCTTTATACTGTGACAGTTTCATTTTTTATTATCAAGTGGCTCAGAGCTTTTGTAGTTTTGGTCTTTTGCTCCAGAAATTTGTATCTGAATTGCTTTTTAAATGAACTTTCTACTGTACGGTTTGTTTTCATAAGAGTTTCACCCTTAGGTTCATGGGTTTATGCCACTTAACTTTTTGTTAGCCACTGTGTTGGGGGTGAATGCAAAATCAGATGTGTGTGAGAGCTCATCTCTGTTCTCTGCTCTTTCTGAGCAATAAGGAAATAGTCTTTGATAGAACAGTATTTATAACTCTTGTGGCTATTGGTATTAAAGTATAGAATATTCTTGGTTTTCATTATTAAATTCTTTTTTTAAGGAGTAAGCTACAAATTCTTGTGAGTCCTAATTCCACCTTATCCACAAAACATTCAATATTCCCATGGAGTGGTTTGATCTATATACACTGTGACAATGGACAGAAGGTACTTTTTAATTTTTTTTTTTTTTCCGAGCAACATTTCTTTTGTAGCTTAGGTGTCATAATCCTTTTTTAGCACTTACAGTTCAGAAATCGAATAAAAGTATATGTTCTTTCAGCCCCAATGGACTTATTTAAATAGAGCATTTAGTAGATATTAATGTTCTGAATGATTTTCCTGGGTTGAGGCAGGAGTGGAGAGTGGGGCCTAGAAGCCATTATTAATTTGCCAAATTTGCTTCGGAAAAAAAGAGCATTTGAGAAGAGGTCATAAAGTCAGAGATTTACTTTGAGATCTGAATAAACTAATTTCTAAATTTATCAGTGTTTCATTTGTTTTGCATTACTTTCCCCTATGACTTAAAAATAGGATTTTTTTTTTTTTTTTTTAAGAAAGATAGTTACATTTCTGTCTTATTATCCTTTTATTCGGCCCATTTCAGAAAATTGTGAAAGTTCAAATTAGAGAAGACTTGACCCAGGAAGAACTTCTCACTCCTTTGGCCTCCAGCTCATTTGGAATTTCTTCTCGAGTAACTGAGCCTTCAGCTAGTCATCTGGTAAAACCAATGACAAAACCACCCTCCACAAAAGTTGAGATAAGAAACAAGACTGTTACTTTTCCTACAGTAGAACCTGGTGAAACTTCAGGTATCCTGTCACAAGATTATTTAATTAAAATGTCTACTGACATATTGAGTGTAATTGAGTTAACCATGTGTTAGTGATAGGTATAAAATTTTACCCCTTTACTGCAGGACAAAATCAAGTAGTCATTGACAGTTATTTCAATGATGAGCTGGATTTGGCAGAGCTTAAAAATCGTAAACTTTTACATCTCAGCATTTAACAAATCTTTGTATTCCAGGAGCCTTAGACTTTACTTGGTTAGAACCATCCCTCCCCAACTCTCACTAGATCTTTGACTAGAATTACTAATAGCTTAGTAGCTGAAGAAGAAAGGAAAATGAGTAGAGCCTGGCTCTGTTACGTACTGATGTGACTTTGAATCTCAGTGTTTGTCTGTCTCTCTCACTCTTTCTCCCTCTCTCTGTCCCCCAACCCTTCCCTCACACCCCATCTCTCTCTTCCTCTCTCCTCCTCAGTTCCTCCCTCCCAGCTCAGACTGAAAGACTATTAGAAGAGATTTGGGACCATTTATCACCTGGCCTTCTAAGCTCCCAGCCTTTCATTGGTTTTGTCTTCCACTCAGGTTTCCTTCTTTCACTCCTGGATTTTGTCTTCACCAATAGCTATACCATGTTTTCGCTCTCGGTTTCAGGACTGTCACTTCTTGGCCATCACCCCTGTCTTTATAGCTCAGTTACTGTAGGAATTACAGCAGTTCTCTAACCTCATTCCAACTTCCAGGTTATTAACCCTACTATTTTTTCATTCTCCATTGTCCTACCTATATCCCACTTCTCTTACAACCCTCTTTGAAATCTGAGGTCTGTCATTGTAATTACTACTGCACAAACATTCTTAACTGCCATGTGCCCCCTCTCCCTCTGCCTTCCTATCTGGCAAAATCCTAACCCTTGTTAAAACCAGTTGTCTACTTACTCCATGTCTCTACCCTACAGAATAACATTTCTGGAGAAAACTACAAACACGCTGACTGATTCATGAGCTCAGCTCTCAGATCAACACTAGGCTTTCTCCCAGCCCTCCTTGGTCCATCTCCAGCAGTTATTTAGCAGCTCCTTTCTTCTCAAAGCTCCTACTCCTCCTGTCCTCTCTTAATTCTGTTCTCTTTCCAACTCTTTACCTTGTCTCACACATCGTTGAAAATATAGAAGCCTTGAGGCTAAATGAAAGGCTGTTTCCACCACAGACAAACCCTTCTGCTTGAGATCTAGGCGCATCTATTCTTGCCCTCTTGAGCTTCTTCCAGCTCTTTCTCACTCCTGTGTCATCAGTTCCTCCCCCGTTACTGATGCATTTCCATTAGTACACAGTATGCTCTCCTGTGAACTATTTAAGAAATGCCTTCCTTGGCCCCACATCTCCTTGCTGCAGCTGCCCTCTTTCTCAATACCTCTTGCTAGTGAAATGATTGTGCTCCCTGGCTTTAGTTCCTCAGTTTATTTAGCTGCTGCCACCACCACACCCTGAACTGCCACTCCTTTTGAGGTCACTGAAAAGCTCCATTTTGCCAAATCTGTCATCTCTTTTATGTGTCTTTGTTAATTTAATTTATCAACACTGTTGACCACTCTTCCTCCTTGAAATGCTTCCTTCTTGGACGCTCTCCTGGTTTTCCCTGCCTCATGCGTTCCTTCTCAGGTTCCACTGCTGACTCCTCTTCTTCCTGGGCCTGTCTGTGTTCCCTTCCCTCTGCTCTCCCTGTGCCCCAGATGTACCCACCAGGCACCTGCTCAATTTCTGCATGTGGACATCTCGCAAAAACGGAACTCTTGTTTTACCCATGAAACCTGCTTCTCCTCCAGCCTCACTCATATCTGTCAGTTAGTGGCTCCACTGTCTGCCCATTTCATTGAGCCAAATCTCTAGAAGTTGATTTCTCTTCCCTCCCTCTTCCTATCCAGTGCATTAGAAAGTCCTTTGCAGTCTGTTTTCAAAATGGGTCCTATATCTGCCCACTGCTTTTCCTCCCACTGTACTGATTCAGCTACTACAGTGACGTCTTATCAGGGTTCCTCTTGACCCCTTTGCAGTCTCTTTTCTCCACAGCAGCCATTAATTTCTTAAAAACATAAGTTACCAAGTCACCTCATTGCTCCCTTCCTTAAGCCTTTCAGTAGCTTTGCATTGCACTTTGATGAAATTCGAAATAGGATCCTGTCAAATGTGATTTTTTTAGGAAATACTATCGTTCCTGTTGTACTCCTCTAGGGATCTAATAATTGTATTCTTTTCCTTATGATGAAGTAATCACATCATAAGGAAAAAATACAATCATTACAGGTAATTGTCACATATTATTACTGTAATCTGCTTGTTTACTTAGCTCTCCAAGAGTTTGAGTTGTTACACATGTGTTCCTTTTAGAAAATTATCTGGAACTTGAGAATCATGGTAACACAGAAGTGAAGTGGCGTCTGTCATCTTTAGCACCACCTTATGTCAAGGTCAGTAATAATTGCCTTGAATATATTTGTTTTAATGTTTAAACTTTAGGCAGGGTGTTTTAAAAATCAAATTATTAACATAGGTTGAGATTATTGGCTTTTTGTTCCACTAACTCATTTATTTGATAGTCTCTATAGGTGGGGCTAATACATGCCTATTCTTTTCACAAGGTGGTTTTGAGAGTAAAGTTAGAGAATGTGTGTAAAAATATGCGCTTACTCTGTTTAATACTATCTTCTATAGCCCTGATTTTTATCTGAAATAACTTTATCTTGAAAAATATATTAGAATTTTATTATAGAACATTGTGTATGTGCACATACATTTTCCCCTCCCATGTTCTAATCACTGTTGTATGTTTTTCACCAGTGAGTGCTAGTGCAGGAGATAGAATTGAATGTTCTTTGCCACTGAGTATTATTAACCTTCTGTATATTGCAAATAGTCTCTGCTGGTGGGCACTGTCTGAACTGAGTGTGTTGTCATGTGTGTTGGTTAGAATACCACATGGCATTTTTGGCATGTGTTTTGTGTGATGGTAACAGTTTTGAGCCATAATATTAACAAAGCACGTGCAAAAGAATGCTGGATCTACTGAAAATAAAGAACTGGTATCATGTAGGATGTTAAGATGTACACTCAGCAAGTCTTCAGGTTCTTTGCAGAAGAGACAGCCCTTCAACATTATGAACAGCGTTCTAAAGATCACTAGCCAGAGAGGAATGGCTGCTGATAGAGGGAGAAGAGTCAGCATGAGCCCTTGTGTGAGCCAGATCTAATAGCGTTCCCACTCCACAGCAGGCATTGAGCTCTCTTTTTCTGGGTTTGGGTGTCCTCGATAACCATGAAGGTATTACTCTGAATTGACTTGTTGCTTTTATATTTTTTTCGTCATTCGATTGTTTAAATGGTTACTTTGTATAGGGAGTTGATGAAAGTGGAGATGTTTTTAGAGCTACCTATGCAGCATTCAGATGTTCTCCTATTTCTGGTATACTGGAAAGCCATGGAATCCAAAAGGTGAGTTTTGATCCTTTTTTTTACAGCCATCTGGTAAGAACATGGTGTTGATTAGCCAGGAGTGTCTCATTTCTTTCCATCCAGAGCAGTTTGTTTCGCCTAGACCAGTGCTGGTCACAGCCAGGCTGCCACAGAAGGGACACTTCTCAGCGCAAAACATTGGACTGTTTCCTGCAGCCATAAGTCTTGCTTTCTGATCAGCAAAACAAAATACCATGCTTAGTGGTATGATTGATATACATTCTGATATAAGCACTTCATGTAGCCTCAGGCTGCCAGTACTTCGAGTAGTGCTAATCTAGACAATAGTTTTGTCCACCAGCTATAGTCAGAAAAATCTACTAATACCAGAACAGCTTAATGTTCATGTCATAGTCATTAGTATATTTTCATGGGTAAGTGGTGACAGATCCCTTTAGTACCATGACCCTTTTAATTAATTTGTAGACCTGATATAGCCCCGTCAAATCTCTCTTAGTGACACTAGTCATTCATTTGGCCTCAGTAATATACTTTTTCATGCTAGTAGCTGAAACTTGTTTAAACTATAGCACTTATATAATATTGGTTCATTTATTTATTCAAGGGATCAGACTTATAATAAGTTCTAGAATAATGTCGTGAAATCATAACTGACCATAAAAGAATCTTTGAGCCATGATGGTAATCACAAACTGTATGCAGTTTCTGTCTATATACCAGGCTTCCATAGGATTTCTGACTTTGGGAAAGGCACCCAATTCTACAAGCATATTTTATTTCATCTTTCAGGCCATAATAGAGCAAAGCAATAGAACAGGTAACAGGCACATTGCTCAACAAAAGTTCAATATCTGAAGGGAAGTTGCAAAAAATAATAATAATAATAAGCAGGAAAGATATTCCATGTTCATGGATCAGAAGACCTGACATTATTAAAACATCAGTACTCCCTAAATTGATCTAAAATTCATAAAGATTTTCAGGGAACCCAGAATAACCAAAACAATCTTGAAAAAGAACAAAGTTGGCAAAATTCATACTTCCTAATTTCCAAGCCTACAGTAATCAAAATTGTGTGGTATTGACATAGACATATTGAATATGTGGAATAGACTTGAAAGCCCCAAAATAAACCATAATACTTCTAGTCAGTTGATTTTTTTCAAGAAAGGTACCAAAACAATTCAGTAAGGAAAAGAATATTTTTCAACAAAGGTGTGGGGAAAACTGATGTCCACATGCAAAAGAATTAAGTTGTATCCCAATAAAAACAAATAACTAGTTTAAAAAAATGGGTAGAGGATCTGAATAGATATTTCTCCAAAGAAGATATATAGATGGCTGATAAACACATGAAAAGATGCTTAGAATTACTAGTCCTCAGGGAAATGCAAAGTAAAACCACAATGAGATATCACTTCACACCCCCTAGGATGACTATGATTTTTAAACAACAACAACAAAACATAATAACAAGTGTTAGAAAGGATATGGAGAAATTAGAACCCTAATATACTCACTGCTAGTAGGAATGAAAAATGGTACAACCAGTGTGGAAAACATAAAATTACTATATGAGTCAGGAATTCCGCTTCTGGGCATATATCCCCCCAAATGAAAACCAGTATTCAAACAAAAACTTGTATACAAATGTGCATAGCAGCCTTATTCAAAATAGCCAAAAAGGGTGAAATAACCCAAATGTCCATCAACTGATGGATGGATAAACAAAATATTCATACAATGAAATATCAATTGGCAATAAAAAGGAATTACCGATAATATGCTACTTCATGGATGAACCTTGAATATGCTAAGTGAAAAAAGCCAGATACCAAAGACCACATATTATATGATTTAAATTACTTTATATATCTAGAATGGGTAAATCTATAGAGACAAAGTAGATTTCATGGTTGCTGGACCTGAGCGTGAGGATAGCGGAGAAGGGGAAAGGACTTGATAATAGTATAGGGTTTCTTTATGGATTGTTGAAAATATTTTAAAATTAGATTGTGGTGATGGTTGCACAGTTCTGGAGATATTAAAAACTATTTGAAATAGGTAAATTGTATGATATGTGAATTATATCTCAGTAAAGCTATAAGAAAAGAATAATGAGGGTGCAGGACTAGATTGTCTCCCACGAATTTCTCTTTTTCACATAATCCTTAACATAGAAATGTAACCTTCTGAATTTTGTTGTGTTCATCATTATATAACCTGGCCCAAACTAACTGCTTACCACATTGTCAAATCACATTTGTCAAATGAATTCTAGGTCTGGTTTCTTAATTTAAGTGGGGGAGGGGGAAGCAAGGCACATCATTCTGGGACCATTTAGGGAAGTGTTACCAAATAGCACAATTATTGATTTATATAATAGTAATTCAGAAGGGGGAAAAAATAGTTTATTACAACCTAATTCTTAAAGAAAAAGATGTACACATTTTTTGAAACATTGGTCAATTTGATGTGCAATTAAATAAGCTAATGAATGTTAAAGTTCCCGTTATGTCTCTACTGTATAACATGCAGTAATAGGTTTCTATCCTTTTTATTTTTTGATGTTGGAAGGAGATAGAAGTGGGATTTGTAGAATACATGCTACTGCCACCAATAATTCCAGATAATTTGTGTATTTTCACCACTTAGGACATGATTGTTTTCGTTCTTCCTTGATTTTCTCAGTGTCCTTGTCATTTTCAGTGTAACTCCCTAATCTTGATCTCATCTCCTTGATCAGTATCCTGCCTTTGCCTCCATGCTCTCAGGTTGCTGGCTGCATTGTGTTCTGTAGTGACAAAAATTAGATCACTTAAGTGTTTTAATGTTAAGTTCAGAATCAAAGATATTGATTAATTGTTAACCTGACTAGTAGTCAGTATTTTTAACATTAAATTCTTTAATAAAGAAAGCTCTTAATGCTGGTAAACTTTATAAAATACTATTTGTAAATATTATAGTTTCCTCATTATTGAGCTTTTTATAGGTTTTATGCATATAGTTTTTATCTATAACTTTGAGCTATATGGTCAGGGTTACTGGTTCTGACTGACATTCTGAAGTTAATTATAAAAGCTGCTAATGTGTAGCATAGTGGTGCTTCTCTTTTCTACTTCCTGTTATACACCCATCCTTCTTTCACATTTTCTGTATGTTCTTCCTGTCCTCTCCTTTAAGTGGTTTTGTGCTGTCCTCTTAGTACTTTACCACTTGGCCAGCAGAGGGTTCCATAAGCATTGCAGTGGAAGACTGAACTGTGTGTTTAGAGTCGAACCTTCCTCATTTAGCTCTTGTACTTGACAGCTCTAGAATTTTTGATAACTTTTTTTTTTCCAATTAAAAAAATTTACGCTTTGTAGAATATGTTACATAAAGCCTAAACAAATGTAATTTGGATCTGGTATAGTAACAAGCCCACTCAAAATAGAATTGTTTAAATTCTTTTTCAATTAGTGGCAAAACTAGCCAATGCAAAAATATTTTTCCATTTAATTTTTCATACTAACACTTTGAATTGCTAATCTGACTACATGTATGTAAAGTTCAGCATCTAAATTTCTCTCCTGGATGTGTTTTGTAGGTCTCCATTACATTTTTGCCCAGAGATAAAGGGGATTATGCCCAGTTTTGGGACGTTGAGTGTCACCCCTTTAAAGAACCTCACATGAAACATACCTTGAGATTTCAACTCTCTGGACGAGTGAGTATTGCATTGAATTTAAGTAAATTATTGTGTATATGTATTAAAAACACTAAGTGAAGCAGACATGAAAAACTAACCTGAAAATGCAGAATATTTCCCTGGTATTATTCTAATTTCATTAATTCTTCTGTATAGCTCTATAATCTTAATTATTTTTAATTAATTAATTTTTTATGGTGGCATTGGTTAACGAAATCGGGTAAGTTTCAGCTGTACATTTTAACAGTAAGGCACTTACATATTTACACTGTGTGCTTACCTCCCATGATTAGATTTCTTTCTGTTACCACATATTTAATCCCTTTTACCCCATCTGTAATCTTAATTTTATCATTTATTTTTATTGACTGGCATGTTCGAGGTCTGGGTTTGCCTTTATGAAATCTGTCTGACATGATTAGGTAAGATTGTGTGTGTGTGTACACGTGTTGGTGTGTGCACTTGTGTAAGAAACTGAACAATGCAAAGTATAGGGTTTGAGATTTAGGGAATTTGAAAATATTGTCCCCTTTTAAAAAATTATGAAGGAAACAGTAGAATTCAAATAGATAAATGTCCATATATTTTCCTAAAGTATTCTCTTCTTCAACCCCATGATTTTCTTTTTAATACAGAGTATCAAAGCAGAAAATGAGCTTGAAAATTCATGCATTTCTACAAATACTCTTATTAAAATAGATAATTTAGTTAAGCCCCGAAGACAAGCTGCATCAGAGGCTTCTCTCATACATGGGTATGTTGTTTTTGTCATTCTTATAAATTTTTTCCCAATACTTTATTGAAGTATAATTACATTCAGTAAAATGCTCCATGACTTTAACTACAAGTTTACATGCATTACTACCACTCCAGTCGAGATAGAGACTGTTTTTCTTCCCTCTAGAAAGTTTTTTTGTGTCCCTTTGCAGTCAACCCCCACCCTCACTCCATGGTTTGTTATCTATTGCCATGGGTTAGTTTCGTTGAATTTTATTTTCATATGCATTCTTTCTGTCTGGATTCTTTCACTTAACATACTTTTTTGGGAGATTCATTTGTGTTGTTGAGTATATCTGTAGTTTATTTCCTTTCTTTTTGTTTGTTTAATATTCCATTCTACAAACATATCATTATTTATTCATTTTCTTGTTGACATTTGGGTATCTTCTAATTTGGAGCCATTATGAATGAAGGTGCTGTGAATGTTATTGTACATGTATTTTTGTGGACATATTTTTTCATTTTGGAGGAGTAAAAGTACCTAAGAATAGAATTGTTGGGTCATATGACAAGCATGTGTTTAACTTTAAAATAAACTGCCAAATAATTTTCCTAAAGTAGTTGTACCATTTTACATTCCCAAAAACATTTTAAAAAAATGAAAGTAGATTCTTAAAAGCTTCTAAAAATGTATATTTTATACTCATAACTTACACAGCTTTAATGATAATATTTAAGTATTTTACCTAATGAAAATGTTTCTAATAATCCTTAATTAACTAATATTTAGGTCTAAGTTCTGGAGGAATGTACTCGTAAGAAAAATATATGTTAAATACCTGCCGAATTTAATATAAATGTGGTCATTTGTTTCTAATAGAAGTAAAGGATACATTTCATAAGAAATTAGAATCCTTTAAAGAATATCTGTTCTCACTACACTCTCTTTGCTATTTACTCATCCGCTCATCTCTTACTTACTGAGTGCTCACTGCATGTAGGTCAGTAGAGATAAGACCATGAGCAAACCTGCCCTGGTCTTGCCTCCACGGACTTCACCTTCTAGGGGAGGAGCCTCATCAAAATCAATCACATTAACAGACTTGGAAAGGAATGAATTAAATGGGAAACATCAGGAAGTATGACAGAGGGGGCTCGATCTGTTATATCTGGGAAGAACCTCCCTGAAATGGGACCTTTAAGTTGAGGAGAATGAGTAGAAATAACGTAGGTAAAGAGGACTGTGTCAGTGACCAGGGTGGTGGGTATTGTTGGCTCTTGAGGAATTAAAAGCAGCCTATGGGCTTAGAGCACAGAGGTGGTGGGAGAGTGGTATGAGGTGAGGCTGGAGAGGGAGGTGGGCAGAGTGCAGACCACACAGGGCCTTGTGTGTCAGGCATTATCTGCAAAGGTACTGGAAGCCATTGAATGACACGATCAGATTAAAGTATTGACAGAAAAACCTTTCTGACAGTAGTATGGACTAATTAGAAGGAAGCAAGAATACATTTGGTAAAACAAGTCAGAGATTATTCTTAAGCATTCCAGGACTAAGATAGTGTCAAGGAAGATGATGAGAAATGGACACTTTTGAAGTATATAGGAAGGAAATTTGGAGGACTCGGTTAATGGATTGGATAAAGGGGCGTAAGAAAGAGAGAGTCAGTGTCAGCTCCCTGAGACAAGAAATACAAGTGGAGGATCAAGTTCGAAGAGTAAGATCACAAGTTTATTCTGTGTTTGTGGAGATACCTTTGAAATAGCCATAAGGAGATAATTGTGTATGATTGGCTGTGTTGCCCAGAGGCTCAGTCTGAGCTGAGAAACAAATCTGAGAATACTTGAGTTTGAGGTCACTGGATCAACTGAGATGAGATTTCCTACAAGGAGTGTTGTGTGAGCAGTTAGGGATGTCCAGGGCCAAGTCTTGTGGGACAGCAACATTAGAGGTGACTGACAAGTGGCCAGAGAAATGAAAGTCAGCAATGTGGAATCTGGAAGCCAAGGCAAGAGGAAGTGGTCACTACTATCAGATGCTACCAAGAGGCCAGAGCTTGTGTCACATTCTCAAAGTAGTCTACGTCCCTGTAAAAATGAAGATTATCAATGGACTGGGCTGTGAGCAGCCAGAGTGAAATGAACTCAGGTGAAAGGACCACCTTTTATAAACTGGATTTGAGATGAGTGGAGAGCCCAGACTTTAATGAGAAAGAGGGACAGAGAGAGGTGTCAGCTAACCCAGCACCTTTGTAAGAG